TGTTCTTATAATTCTATGTATTTCTTTGGTGTTGGTTGTAATCTCTCCTCTTTTATTAATGATTTTGTTTATTTGGGTCCTTTCTCTTTTCTTGTGATTAGTCTGGCCAGGGGCTTATCAATCTTATTAATTCTTTCAAAGAACAAGCTCCTAATTTCTTTGATCTGTTCTGTTTTTTCGGTTCCTATTCCTTTGATTTCTGCTCTGATCTTTATGATTTCTCTTCTCCTGCTGGGTTTAGGCTTTCTTTGCTGTTCTTTCTGCAGCTCCTTTAGGTGTAGGGTTAGGTTGTGTACTTGAGATCTTGTTTCTTGAGAAGGGCTTGTGTCACTATATATTTCTGTTTCAGGACTGCCCTTACTGTGTCCCACAGATTTTGATCAGTTGTGTTTTCATTATCATTTGTTGCCATGAATTGTTTCAATTCTTCCTTAATTTCCTGGTTGACTCATTCATTCTTAAGTAGGATGCTCTTTAGCCTCCATGTATTTGAGTTCTTTCCAACTTTCCTCTTGTGATTGAGTTCTAGCTTCAGAGCATTGTGGTCTTAATACATGCAGGGGATGAACCCAATCTTTTGGTACTGGTTGAGACCTGATTTGTGATCCAGGATGGGATCTATTCTGGAGAATGTTCCTTGTGCAGTAGAGAAGAATGTGTATTCTGTTGCTTTGGGATAGAATGTTCTGAATATATCTGTGATGTCCATCTGGTCCAGTGTGTCATTTAAGGCCTTTATTTCCTTGTTGATCTTTTACTTGGATGATCTGTCCATTTCAGTGAGGGGGATGTTAACGTTCTGTACTATTATTGTATTATTGTCGATGTGTTTCTTTGATTTTGTTATTAATTAGTTTATATAGTTCACTGCTCTTATGTTAGGGGCATAGATATTTAAAATTGTTAGATCTCCTTGTTGGACAGACCCTTTGGGTTCAATATAGTGTCCTTCCTCATCTCTTAGTATAGTCTTTGGCTTAAATTCTAATTTATCTGATATAAGGATTGCCAGCCCAACTTTCTTTTGATGTCCATTAGTATGGTAAATGGTTTTCCACCCCCCTCACTTTCAATCTGGAGGTGTCTTTGGGTCTAAAATGAGTTTCTTGTAGACAGCATATTGATGGCTTTTTTTTTTTTTAATCCATTTTGATGCCCTATGTCTTTTGAATGGTGCATTTAGCCCATTTACATGCAGGGTAACTAGTGAGAGATATGAATTTAGTGCCATTGTATTGCCTGTAAGGTGATTGTTACTGTATATGTTACTCTGTTCCTTTCTATTCTACTACTTTCAGGCTCTCTCTTTGCTTAGAGGACCCCTTTCAATATTTCCTGTAGGGCTGGTTTGGTGTATACAAATCTTTAAGTTTTTGTTTGTCCTGGAATCTTTTTATCTCTCTTTCTATTTTCAATGGTAGCCTAGCTGGATACAGTATTCTTGACTGCATGTTTTTCTCATTTAGTGCTCTGAATATATCATGCCAGTTATTTCTGGCCTGCCAGGTCTCTGTGGATAAGTGTGCTGCCAATGTCATATTTTAACTATTGTATGTTACAGATTATTGTCCCGGGCTGCTTTCAGGATTTTCTCTTTGTCACTAATACTTGTTAGTTTCACTATTAGATGATGGGGTATGGACCTATTTTTATTGATTTTGAGGGGGGTTGTGTGTGCCTCCTGGGTTTTGATGTTTGTTACCTTGGCCATGTTAGGGACATTCTCTACTATAATTCGCTCCAATATATCTTCTGCCCCCCTCTCTCTTTCTTCTTCTTCTGGAATCCCAATAATTCTAATATTGTTTCATCTTATGATATCACTTATCTTGCAAATTCTCCCCTCATGGACCAGTAGTTGTTTGTCTCTTTTGCTTAGCTTCTTTATTCTCCGTCATTTGGTCTTCTATATCACTAATTCTCTCTTCTGCCTCGTTTATCCTAGCAGTAAGAGCCTCCATTTTTTTATTGCACCTCATTAATAGCTTTTCGATTTCAACCTGGTTAGATTTTAGTTCTTCTATTTCTCCAGAAAGGGCTTTTATTTCTCCGAACAGGGTTCCTTTGATATCTTCCATGCCTTTTTCGAGCCTAGCTAACACCTTGAGAATCATCATTCTGGACTCTGGATCTGACATTTTGCCAATGTCTCTATTGATTAGGTTCATAGCCTTCAATACTGCCTCTTGTTCTTTTTTTTGTGTGGTGATTTTTCCACCCTGTCATTTTATCCAGATAAGAATATATGAATGAGAGAATAAAGTAGTAAAAGGGTGTTAAAGCCGCCAGGAAAATGTACACCAACCAAATCAGAAGAGACCCAAAATTGGGGGGAGAAGTGAGGGGGGTCAAAAGAAGTTTAAAAAAATTAAAGAAAAATCAATTTTTACATATATATATATATATATATATATATATATATATATATATATGACTGGTGAATAGAACAGAGCCATCGACTTGATTTTGGGTGTATTTTTGTCCCTTAGAAGAAAGTACCTCCCAAAATTTTAAAGAAAGGAAAACTTGTATATATACAAAAATAAGGGTACAATGATGAAAGGATTGAATATGACTGTAATGATGACAATTTAAAAAAAAAAATTCTAAAACAGGAATTGATAATTTGGTTGGGAAAAGAAAGTGGAGAGAATGTGCTCAGGCTGGAGACTAGAACAATGCCCTGTGCTATATTTAGGGTATATTTTGACGTATTAGAAGAAATATTATGCCAAAAATTTTTAGAAGATAAAACCCTATATGTATACAAAAAAATAAAGTTAGATCCAATGAAAGGTAAAATATGACTATAATAATGAAGATTTTAAAAGTTTGGTTTTTCTAGAAAGGTATTGTTAAGATAAACTCGTTAATAAAAGTTAAAATAGGAAATAGGAAAAGTTAAAAAAATGAGAATAAGAAAAAAATAAGAGAATTAATTAACTTTGCAAGACTAAAGAATAATGGGGAGAAAGCCATGAATTCCATTCTTTGCTTTCTCTTCCTCTGGAATTCTGCTGTTCTCCTTGATAAGTGAGCTTGGTCTTGGCTGGATGTTCTTGCTGATCTTCTGGGGGAGGGGCCTGTTTTAGTGATTCTCAGATATATTTGTCCGAGGTCCAACTCTGCCCCCCTTGCCAGGGGCCAGCCTAAGTAATCTGCTCCGGTTTGTTCTTGGGAGCTCTTGTTCCCTGAATGTTTTCCGTAGAGCTCTGGAGGATGGGAATGAAAATGGCAGCCTCCCAATCTCTGGCCCAGAGGAGCTGAGAGCTTGGTTCCCCACTCCTCAGCGTGCCCTCCTAGGAAAGCGGTCAGTCATTCCGGTCTCCCTGACCTCCAGCCACGCTCCAAGCTCACCTGGCCAGTGACCGAACATTTCAGTCTCTGGCACACAGCCCCGTTTGGAGTCTCCAAACACAACAGATTCCTGCACCCAGAGAATGAAGTTGGGTCTCCCCAGATCTGCCATTTGTGGGGTCCCTGCTCAAAAAGCAAGGGCCTGATTATGCCATGGATCACAGTTTAATGTAACTCTGAGCTGAGAGTCTACTCCTCAGCTCCATCTCTGTAGCCAGCTTCCCCACTCTGATACCTGTGAGCTCTGCTACACTCAGACAACCCCGATCCTTCTGTGACCTCGCAGGACCTGAGACCACACTGTCCCTTCGAGGGCTCCACCCCTGGTTGGCCTCTGGAGTGATGTCCCTCAGTGGAGCAGACTTTTTTTTTTTTTTTTAAGATTTTATTTATTTATTTGACAGAGAGAGATCACAAGTAGGCAGAGCAGCAGGCAGGGCGTGGGGATGGAATCAGACTCCCTGCCAAGCAGAGAGCCCGATGTGGGGCTCGATCCTAGGAATTTTGTGAAAAATTAATATGGTAGAATTTTGTGCTTCGTTGCTCTGTCACTTGTCGGGAGCTGGCCCCTCCTTCCACGGCCTCTCTTCCCATCCCTTCAGATTCGCTTCTCCACGCATCCTACCTTTCAGAAAGTGGTCCATTTTCTGTTTCTAGAATTGCTGCTCTTCTTCTTTTTGATCTCCTGTTGGGTTGTCGGTATTAGGAATGTTTTGCTAACTACCTAGCTGAACTCCTGTGACCTAACGTCATCTCAGTCTGCTACTCCTCTGCCATCTTGACTCCTACCCCTCATCTTTCTTTCTTTTTAAAATTTCTCTACTTCCTCTATTGTGTTCCCATGTTCTTTTCAGTCTCCAAATAGACCAGTTTCAGATGGCCACTGGCTTGGAAGTATTACATGTCCATAATCAAACTCATCTAATGGCACCTCTGCATCTAAAAGAGAGGTGGTGGTTGAGCAAGGCCAGCATTTGTCACATTGGAAACCTGTGGGTTTCATGCTTATTAAATACATGCTGAGTTTAGATGCTAGGGACTTTACTGGCACTCTGGTGTCACAGGGGTATGTTTTGAGTCCCTGTAGAAAGTGTAGAAAAATCAACATATTTTTATTTAAAGATATAGCCACCCAATGTTAATAGAAGACTTATAATGGTATTGCCTCTGTAAGAAAAGACCTCTATCTTATTCCCCAGAGCCCAAATGTGTAATTGCTACAAGGTAAGTTTATCTTACTCTTCTGACTAGACCTGGAAATAGGTAATTATGAGATTAATTAGGTTCTAAATAATTTCAGATTTTTAAATTAAGCTCAGTAATATGGAGTACTAAATAGTATATTACTGAATTAATCACTGTCACTTTGCAATGATTAAGGTCATGGATCTACAAAGTACTATTGTACTATCATCACTCCTTATCAGTTATTACTTATAATGATACATTTGTTTCTATTCACATTTTATTGAATGTGAATGTAGAAAGAAGAATTACAATTTTCAGATAGTAGCCATTTGGAATTTCCTACCTATTGTTATATTTTTAAGGAGAAGAATTTATATTACTTATCTATGTATGCAGTTATTCTGAGATCAGTAAATGACTTGACTGACAAATATATTATTATGTTACTTTTCTAGGTGAAGACCCTGAAACAAGAAGAATGAGAACAGTTAAAAACATAGCAGATTTGAGGCAAAATTTAGAGGAGACTATGTCCAGTCTTCGTGGGACCCAGATAAGCCACAGGTTTTTTTTTTTTTCTCAATTCTATGTATTATTGGGCCAATAAAGAAAAAAAAATGACTATCAAGAACTTAACGTCTTATAAGAGTAAAGAAAAAATTTAATTTCCCCTTACTGTTTTCTCACTTAAATTTTACATGACATTCAGCTGGCTACTTCTTAGCACATACCCTAGGACTTTTTTCTCCCATCCATCTCTTCTTCCATAGAGTATCCCTTTCAAACTAAAATAGCTACTGAAATTACCACCATCACAACCAATTAGATTTCCATGCCTGTGACAAAGAACAGTGGATAGAAGTTGCAGTTGAAATGCATCTGGGGCAGGAGTGGGGATGGGGGGTACAGAGAGACTCTGAAACATAATTGGTCTCAACTTCCAGAATCGTTCTGGGAAGCCATTGGGGTTAGGTGAAGGGTTTGTTGAAACTGTGAAACACAATTTTGCTTTATCTAAAATGTGACAATGACCTTTCTTTCAAAAGCAAAAAAGCAAAACAACAATCTTCTAATGAATGCCCCATCCCACATGCTGACATCTGCAGAGGTGTTTTGCATCTCATCATGAAAGTATAATTTGACTTTCATGAAAATGACATACTTCTAAGAAAGGACTCAGCTCTAGCCTTTCCTGTCTTCATGTATTCTTGGTCTGTGATCCCAAGTGAATCCAAGTATAGTTCTTTCTTCATTTGTTTGCCAGCACCCTGGAGACAACATTTGACAGCACTGTGACAACAGAAGTGAATGGAAGGACCATACCCAACCTGACAAGCCGACCCACTCCCATGACCTGGAGGTTGGGTCAGGCATGTCCTCGACTTCAGGCTGGAGACGCTCCCTCCCTGGGGGCTGGCTACCCTCGCAGTGGTACCAGCCGATTCATCCACACAGACCCCTCGAGGTTCATGTACACAACACCTCTCCGTCGAGCAGCTGTCTCTCGACTGGGAAACATATCCCAAATTGACATGAGTGAGAAAGCAAGCAGTGACCTGGACATGTCTTCTGAAGTCGACGTTGGTGGATATATGAGTGATGGTGATATCCTTGGGAAAAGTCTCAGGGCTGATGACATCAATAGTGGGTAAGTGGCCTTGGTCTCTATCAACATTACACAGACAGGGAAAGTGTTCTACTAAGATGCATGAGCTGGAGAAAAATAATTCGGTCAGCTCACAAAGTCATTAGAACTCATGAAAAATCGAAGGTTGTTTGGGGATGTATCAGACCTTCTCTTCTGCTCATTCATGAAGAGTAAAATATCTAAAACTTCTATAAAATCTTTTCATTATAAGCCCTTATATCTTTCTGTTGTTAGTTGAGAGAACCAAATGTGCCCTGTGCTTTTTGGAGTGATTTTCACACAATTCTTAAGTCCCAGATTTTGTAGTAAAAGACGTGGGAAGGGGACAGGAGGAGTTTTGCTGGGCTGCTGGATTTTATTTTTTCAATTTGGTTTGTCAAAACTGCCTCTAACTTCTTTGAAGATAGATATTTTCTAGCTTTCTTCAGTTATGCACCTCCAATCTAACTTGAGGGAAAATCGTTTTAGAATTGAGACTTTCAATCTCTTTTGATGGTATCAGATTTATTTTTTCTAAATCATAGCCTTTGTTTTTCTTCTGTTTTCTATTGTAATCTGCAAAAATGTTGTGATTATAAAACTCTTAAAGATTTTGGCAATGTGGAATATTTAGCCCAATCTGAAGATAAGCCCCAATAGAGGCAATAGGATACTCTATTAAAGCTACTTCTATAAATAATTATAATTCCTTACAGATACAAAACCTTATCCTAACTAGCCACAATTGTATAATGCTAAGGAAAGGGGAGACTTGCATTAGAAGTCACATACATCTGGCTTTAAAACCGTTGCTCTGTAATGCAAGGAAAAGCTTCCCAAATCAATTTTATAATTTTCATCATTTCCCAAAATGCTAAATTCAGGGATTTGACCTACTTTTTGTCCTTATACATCTGAGAGAACCAGTATCAGAAAGCATTCTTCTATATGAGTAACCTTCCTGACTTCCTTCATGAAAGAAAAGAAAAGAAGAAAAGAAAAAAGAAAATCTTATTTGAAAGGTGACAGACCTAAAAAAAAAAAAGAAAAAAAAAATTACAGAAGAGCTTTCGATGTATAGCTCTGCTGTGATGTCCCCATATCCAGTGGTTTCATACGTGCTCCTTCCCAGATGCCTAAACTCCAACAGTTTAGAATTAGGGAGACAGATTGCAGTCAGTTAGGGTAGGAAGTAGTTGAGATGCTGCTGGAGTCAGAGTCTAATTTAAATTCCTTTCTACAATTTGCTGTCTGTGGAAGCCATGGGGGCTTAATTTGCCCAAACTCTTTGTTTTCTGTAATAAGGATAAAATTGCAGAATCTCCACAAAATTATTAGGAATTAAGGAAATAATCCACAAAATTGTACTTACTCAAAGCCTGTTACAGTATGAGAGTTGAGTAAATTTGTCATCAGCATCATAATTCCATTTATTATCATTAATAATCACAGTAACTTGTAGATGTTATTGTTATCATTTTTGTCCATATTAAATAACATCTGGATGTGAGGATACCCAGTTTGGGCAGCACAGGAACATTGAAAGCATGAACTTTTTCTCCTGTCTCTCCCTTTTCTCACCCACTGTTTCCACTCTCCTATCTCCTCCTCTTTTCTTTCTTCATCTCTTTAAGTGAGAGCATATGTGTTTTTATATTCACTACTGGATGAAGATTTATTTTTTATTTAAATTCAATTAATTATCATATAGTGTATTATTAGTTTCAGAAGTAGAAGTCAGTGATCTATCAGTCTTCTTTTTTTTTTTTTTTTTAAGATTTTATTTATTTATTTGACAGAGAGACACAGCAAGTGAGAGAACACAAGCAGGGGAGTGGGAGAGGGAGAAGCAGGCTTCCCACTGAGCAGGGAGCCCGATGCAGGGCTCGATCCCAGGACGCTGGGATCATGACCTGAGCCAAAAGCAGCCGCTTAATGACTGAGCCACCAAGGCACCCCTCATCAGTCTTACATAATACCCAGTGCTCATCACATCACCTGTCCTCCTTAATGCCCTTCACCCCGTTACCCCATCCCCTTACACCCATTCCCTCCAGCAACCTTCACTCTATTTTTATGGTTAAGAGTCTCTTATGACTTGTCTCCCTCTCTGATTTCATCTTGACTTATTTTTTCTTCCCTTCCCCTATGATCCTCTGCTTTTGTTTCTTAAATTCCACATATCAGTGAGATCATATGACAGTTGTCTTTCTCTGATTGACTTATTTCGCTCAGCATAATGCCCTCTAGTTCCATCCACGTAGTTACAAGTGGCAAGATTTCATTTGTTTTGATGGCTGCATAGTATTCCATTGTATATATACACCACATCTTCTTTATCCATTCATCTGTTGATGGACTTCTGGGCTCTTTCCATGGTTTAGATAGTGTAGACATTGCTGCTATAAACATTGTGGTATAGATTCCTCTTTGGATCACTACATTTGCATCTTTGGGGTAAATACCTAGTAGTGTAATTGCTGCGTCTTAGGGTAGCTCAATTTTCAATGTTTTGAGGAACCTCCATACTGTTTTCCAGAGTGGCTGCCCCAGCTTGCATTCCCACCAACAGTGTATGAGGGTTCCCCTTTCTCTGAGTCTTCACCAACACCTGTTGTTTCCTGACTTGTTAATTTTAGCCATTCTGGTGTAAGGGGATATCTCATTGTGGTTTTGATTTGAATTTGCTGAGTAATTGTTCATGAGTCAGGTGGCAAAGTGGGGTGGAATGCTAGGTGGGACACTGTGGTTTCAGGATTCTTGGGGCCACAGGAAGATAGGGGTGCCTGACTGCATCAGAGTTCCCAGGCACTGGAGCGAGGGAACTGGCTGCAATTAGTTAGCCTAGGAGTGGACTCTCACCTTGGTGTTGCCATAAACCATGAATCGCAGCACGGTTCGATGACAGCTCTCCGAGCTGGGGCACAGCAAGCAGGTGAACTGCAGGGAGACCCCCTCTTCCATCCACCTGAATAAAGATTTAATTATATACATAAATATAGCATATTTATACACACACATATATGCACATATTAATGTACACACACATATATACATATACATAGAATATATACATAGACACACACACACACACAGGCAGTCAACCTCCTTATTTGCAGTAGTCACCACATACACTGAATTAGTGAATATTGAACCATTGCTCCTAGGGGAAATACAGACATAGTTCCTGTGAGCTTTGGGTCACAACATTTTTATCAACTCATCAGAATATAATCTTGTTTTATGTGTATTTCAATTTAAATCCACCTTATTTGTGAATTAATACGTATTGTAGACTCATTAACATTGAGCTCATGCCTTCATAGCACTGTAATTCATGCCTAAATGAAGTTTATCTAACTCATAGTTTTCTACAAGACACACCACAGCCTTCTTACACTTAGGAACACAAGAATACCTTAAGACTACACTTGAGGGGCATTTTAAGCAGCAGACTTTCCAACAGGGAGCACAAAAATGCAGAAGATGTGGCTCTAAAGAGCCTGTAAAAAGGAGACATTGACAGTAAGGGAGCTGAATCAAGAGGGGAGAATGTCACCTTATTTATTTGACCTCAGCTGAGAATGTCCTCATGGGCAACTCAAATTGCTGCTCTGTGCCTGTCCGTGAATGATCATAGAAGTGTTGCAGTTATTGATTTGCAAATTTTAGCAAGTAAGCAAATTTGTAAATATGGAGTTTGTGAATAATGAAGATTGACTATTTATTTATATACACAGAAAATGCTTATCTGGGGAGAGAAAACATGCGTATCTTGGGAGCAATTTAAATCAGACATCAATGGACATTGCAATGTGTGAGTAATTTCAAAAGTTTTGTACAGATAAAAACTTAGCTAAAAGTTCAGAAGAAAGAGAAAGTGTTAAATCCAGGCATGAGATAGAAAGGAGGGGATAAGAAAAGGAAAGAGTTTAATTTAAATAGCTATAGAAGAGGGAAATGTATTAAGAGAATATCTGTAAGAAAAGGAGAAATATTGTAGAAAGAATGTCATTCAGTGAACTTGACTAAAATATAATTTTTAGAATCAGAGGGACAGTTGGATTAGAGGACATTCACTGACCTTTCCTTTAATCGAGATTCATGGAATCTGAATATTTAGTTTTGAGAGATAGGGTCTATTGTGACAGGCCTCAGTAACATTATGCTTAGAAATTTAAACTGTGTACTCTAAGCAGTGGAAATCACTGTTTCTTAAGATTATTTAGTAGCCACACAGAATAGGTCATGAAGATGATTTCTGAAAGTCCCCCTCAGGGGAATTCTGAAAAATGTATTGAGAGGAGAAGCTCTGATGGTAGATTTCAGACACTATTGCAGAGCTTGAGGTCCAAGGTCTATAGGCCAGAAATATGGGAGTAGCCTTGATGGGGATGAAAGGAGCGGAAAAACTGATATGGGAGATACCACAGAGGAGAAATTTACAGAAAACGTGATAGGCTACTCCTAAGGGCTTAAGAGAGACTGAATTCAGATAAGATGCCCATTTTGTAAGCACCATAAATGGGAAATTATAGTTTTAGAGAAAATAGGCAGAAAAAGAGGCTTTTTTTTTTCTTTTTTGAGAAAGCAGAAGGGAGATGATGAGTGTAGAGTTAGAAACATAGAGTTGACGACATTGTGGTATAAGTTGGAAAAGCAGTAGTTTTCAGGGTAGAGATATGATGGCGAGTGTGGTCTCCTATAGAAGAAGATAGTGGAAATTGTGGGAGATGTGTGGACTTCTGGGAAAAGAATTGAGAGAAGGATCCTGAGCTGAAGTGTGTATCCAAAATATATTTCTGAGTTCACCCTGTATGCCAGGAAGCATTTGGGGGCTGTGTGTGCAGGAGTGAGCAATATAGGCAAAATACCACATGACCCCCATGCTAGTGTTTTTTATATTTTCATAGGTGCTCATTTGTTCAATGAATGCGTAACTAATATATACACGTTTGTAAGTAAGTATGTGTGTATACATTCTTAGATTAGTAGTTTTTTCTTAAGGCAGTTTTTTAAAA